TCTCTCTCTCTCTCTCTCTCTCTCTCTGGCTTTCTCTTCTGCTGGCAAACTATTTATCCGACAGAGCACAGACTCTCTTTCTTTCTTTGCCTGTTCTGTCCTTCGGATCGATCATTCGAAGAGAATTTGCCTTTGTTTTTTTTTTCTCTTTTCAATTTTACAGCCATCATTTGCAAAAACAGCGTGATTGAAAGTTCATTCTCTCGAAAAGATATTTAGATATCTGTCTTTATAAGGAATCATTGGAGATTCAGACAATAAATAATTTTTATCTGTATGAACTCGGAACTCGAGTCAGATTGATTCTCATCTTTCCCTGCATGCAATCCAAATCAACGGGAATATTTGATATATATTTAACTTTAGCTCGATCGAACTATCAAACTTGCGCGAGAAGTGTGACCTATCGTTACGATAGATCGCTGCTTGAAAATTGAAATTTTACAACAATTTTCTATGAAAATTATTCTGGCTCCCGCTGCGAAGAATTTCAATTAGTCACGACTCGAATTCGAACGACGTACCCGCGATTATCTTCCCCCCCCCCCCTCTATCGATGCATCATTCCTGACAAGGAACACGACGTAGCTGTAAAAAGAGGGAGGCAAGTAGCAAGAGTCACGAGACGCGGAGACGAGGTCCACCCTTTTGTACGTTAGCATCCCTTGCATGAAGTACAATGAGCGGCAGTTTTAACAGCTGCGCCACTTGTACACATTTATTACCACCGTGCGTGATTAATTGCTGTTTCGTTCTTTCATCGTGTGTGGGCCACCGCGTTCTTGTTCCCGGCTTTTAAAATTCGAAGTCATTAATATCGTATTTCGGGGAATGTACGACGCTTGTTTGATAATTCACGGGCCTTTCCTTCAATTTATTACAACGACCACAAATTATGAATATTCATTTCGATGCTGTTTTGCTAATAGTTCGATACGTCGCCAGCTATTAAATTAACGAATTGACAAATTATCGAGAAAAACCAGTGATAAGATACTACTGTATTTCCACGTAATTTTATCGTTTACGCAATTAACGATAAAATTACGATAGTTTGCGAACTTTTGAAATAAAAGAATAGACCCCGGCTGATTATCCGAATCGAAGTACGAATTTTTATATTTTTACGAACGCAACGAACGGGAAGGCGAGATCGGAATAAAAGCTTGTTTGATGCATTAAATAATTTCTTAATGCTTTTAGAAATTATTAATAAATAAACGTGTCTCAAGTATTTATATTTAATTTTAACGATATATATATATATATATATCTTGAAATATTTAACTGAACTTTACAAGTTCGTGTTCTACGCATCATGTTGCTGCTGTGTCATACATATCATGCCCATAAACGCTTAAACTTCCACGATCTAATCGCAACGTCTCACTTTATCACTGTATCTGCAAACCCATATTACCCACCCGTCGATCCATCACCGAATAAAACAAACTTGTCCAAACTTCCCGGATAAAACGTTCCTCCTCGCACGTGTGTTACCTGTTTCGAAAATTGCAGAGCATCCACGGCGAGACTGTCAGGCACAGGCGCAGCCGAATAATACGCTTGCAGCGGGTAACGGGAGCCGGACTAGCGATAATCGCCGAGGCAAACGGAGAAACAGCGAAGAAACGACGAAGGGAGAACACGAGGATTGATGCGAGCACGCTCGTCCCTCTATCTTCAATGACAGTCGATGGTGTGCACGCGCATTTCGATTCGGATATTTAATACCTTCTCGTTTGTCATCTACGCGGATTTGATAACGCGTTGCACAGTCGGACCGAGCTGAAAGAAAGGAAGAAAGAAAGAAGAAGAAGATGATGAAGAAGAGAGAAGAAAAAGATTGGCGCGAGTACAAGGGCGTGTGCTTTTGATTTATGTAGTCGCGTCGGTGAAACGACGGGCGAGCATCAATCACCCTCGCGCGTCTCGTGGAAGCGTCGGCCCATCGAGCAAGACTCGCGCGACCCGAATCGACAGCTCGGATAAATG